CGGGTAATTCAACGCTCCACGTTGCAAACTTATACTTTAATTATGTCCAGGCGAGGTTTTGCAATACAGTAAAGGCCGCCTTCCTATTTTAACCGTTTTACGTATGCACAACACCGATACGGTTTAAATTTAAATTAATCCTGGTTTTTAGAATAATAATTAATTAATGTTCTAGAAGAAAAACTAAATAACTATTATACCTTTCTTTCTGAATTACAACAATTTATTTGAAATCAACCTTGTAACCAACATTAACGTAAAAGATGTAAGTATGTACATTTTGCAACTTTAATTTTTTACGATTGCGCATCATTTTCATTGCGTAATACAGGGTGCTATTCGGAATTATTCTTACGCAAAGTATTTCAATAACCAAACGTAATTTGATTCCATAATGCCTTCAACTTAACTCTCGTACCTAATTGGCGATGATTTGAAATCTATTTACTGATGCTGAGCGATTTTATTGATTTATAGAGGTGACGACACGCTCCCGCGTTTACATGTTACGTGAGAACGTAATGGAATTAAGTTTTCAGCAAAACTGAAAATTTTAATCGAAATATATTTTTATGGTTTAGCAATTTTAAAACCACATAAAGGAAGTAGAGTCGATTCTAAGCACGAAAGCGTAACTGTGTACATTGTATTATTTTGATCCGAACGTTTTTTTTTTATTATTCTAGAATAACCATAAAAATATTTTTCTTTTTATGCATCATGCAATTCCGTGTGATTATTGGAACAAGGTCTTTTTTATTCGATTTCTGTAATATTTTTTAGGTTCTTTAATTTTTTCTAATTGTTCTTTATTTTTCTTTTTGGATTAAATTGATTCTTTGCATTTAACTAGAATTTTTTTTGAAATCTTTTTCGTATTATTAATATATTCATATTTGCCTAAGATTTATAGCATTCAGGTTTCCAGACCAATAGGCAGTGTTTTGAATTGCCAAGCCTGACTAGAATACCACTCTATATACACTTTAGTCGTTGCATTGCTACAATAAAGAAGACACCGTAGCTAAACCTACATTTGAAAGAATGACTTATTTGCGCATGAAATTTGAACATGAGACATTGCGGAAATGCTTTGTGCCTTAATTATTATTAATTTTGCTGTGAAGCGTTCGCTGCAGGTTTTCTATAGCTTCTAGCACAGCTATCTCTAAGTTCATATTTGTTGTCGCGTAATACACAAGCGTTGTTAGACATTTGGTTTCAGATTACATTGAGACTTAGCCTTGCCCATTTGACAGAATTACGTGTATATTTGAGGACCTGTTCACTTCTCGATATTATTGTTATTATTATATAAAATTATTTTTTTTAAGTATTTTTATGAAAAAATTACAGGTAAAAACTGTTACTAGTTAGCTGAATATTAGATACTACTTCCTGAAAACGACATACCGCTGGTTGAAAACTACATATACTCTACATATACAAAACTACATCTTTTGCCGGCACAAAAGATTAGATACTGTTGGCAGAAAATTAAATAGTACATCCAGAAGACTACATATTGCGGGCGGAAAACTACATGGTGTTGGCAGAAGACTAGATACTAGATAGCTAGTGGATGACTACAACGTACCTGTGTAGACTAGACACTGCTAATATAAGATTGCATACTGCTGACAGAGGACTAAATACTGTTATGGTGAAGTATATACTCATTGTAGAAAAATATATACTGCTAGCAGAAGAATAGATACTAAATGCTGCTAAAATAGATTACCTATTTTAATAATTCAATAAAATTGTTAAAACTAAATAAAACAAACATTTTATTTCATTTAATTACAATATACTATTTGGGATTTACTGTAACATATGACTTCTCCTAACTTACAAAAATTATGTCTTTTAAGTGACCGCCATCAATTTCAATGCACTTTTCAAGATTGGACGAGAAATGATTCATGACACGACGAAGTAAAACCTGATTTATTCGCCGGACTTCTTCAGTAATTCGGTTTTTGAGTTCTTGGATGTTTTCTAGATGAGTTGCAAAAACCTTTCCCCTTAATAACCCCACAGAAAACAGTCTGGTGCAGTTAAGTCCGGGGACCTCGAAGGCCAATTTAAGTAACCAAATCGTGAAATGAGTCTTTAGAGATTCTAGCAGTTTGTGTTATTGCTCCATTTTACTGAAATAATAACGCATTATTTAGTAATCCCCTTCTGACTTATCTCATATAGAATTTATTTCAATATAAAAATAGGTAGTGTATTATGGGGAACCTGTACTTACAGAAGATTACATGCTGTTATCATAAGACTAGATACTACAAGATTACATTCCACTTCTAGAAGACTAGCAGAAAAGTACATATTTAGAAAAAAGTGCATTGTATATATTCTTATATTTTATTTTGGGTTGGCAATTTTATCTAGCAAAGGTGTTTATGAAAACAGTTGGGAGCAATAATACTTCTGATATAGCATCGTTGGGTCAATAGGTCAGGAGTTATCACCGGTTATCCGCTCTCTTGTAAAATGTTTTGGGAACAGAATCCCATAAGAAAGGAGAGTGTTTACGAAAACTGCTGAGCCTAAGATCATTCTTAATATACCATTTTAGTACAAATAGATTATTTCATCCGGGAGCCTAAGTATGTGCTACAAGAAGATTAATAGATTCATGTATTTTTAGTGGAATCAACAGAACTATAAGTGATCTTCTATACCCCAATCTTCGGCAAAACCGAAGGGAAGGTTTCATTATAATAGAAACAAAATAAAAGTAATAAAACGGAAAATATAGGAACAACTGTGAACTGTTTAAAATGTGCAGAATTACATATTGGACACAATGAGTATATACAAATCTCCTTTGGCAATGTGACAAAAAGTTACGTTTTGAAAAAGTGTGTTCATTAATAGGTAACAATTAGCAGGATTATCCGTATCCGACTTTAGCTTAATGGTCATAACTTCTGAAATAAATCTGGTTTTGCTGTAAAAGAACGGCAATGTTGAACTTTAGCATACTAAAATCATCTATACTCATAAATTCAGCAGGTTGTTAGACAAAATAATGTTATTATTTCCAGAGTAAGCTCATTCTGCATATATGCGGTGATATTAAAATTTAATTTATATTGTTTATACAGGTGGGGCAGAATAAGGGAGTTTTGAAAATGAGAATAACACAGCTATTCTTTAATTGAAAAATAGTATACCATTTAACAATGAAAAACTGAAATTATTTATATAAGTTCTGAAAATAAATTAAATTGATTAATTAATTAATTAGCAGTTGAGGAATATCTAAAATCGAACGAGTCTGTTGTTGTCGTGCAGCGGCGCTTTCTCCAACGCTTCAATACTGGTCGTAACGGTTCAGTTCCGAAACGTGACACAATTTACAGATGGGTACAGAATTTTAGAACGACGCACGACGGTACCAGCAATTAATCAAAACCTCATGGTCGTCCTAGAAGTGTAAGGACACTTGCGTCCGTAGAAAGGATGATACAAGCAGTAATTGTAAGTCCACAACGCTCTGTTCGAAAACGGGTTGCAGCACTCCGAATGGGTAGTCGAACACTTCCCAGAATTTTACTCCAAAACCTTCGCTTTCACCCCTATAAACTTATGGTTCTCCAGCAACTGAAAGAGGGAGATTTTGCACAACTCCAGCAGTTCGTTGAAAGAATGTAAATCATTTTTGATGATGAACCAGTAATAATGATGACGATGCTCATTTTCATTTGAACTGTTCTGCCAACAAACAGAACTTCCGGTATTGGGCAGCAGAAAACCCTCGTGAAGTGCATCAACACCCACTTCACAGTGAGAAAGTTACAGTTTGGTGTGCTGTAATTTGTCTTGGATTGATTAGACCTTATTTTTTCAAAGATACACAGGGGGCAACTGTCACTGTTACCTCCGTGCGATATGTTTTCATGTTGGAAAGCTTTTTGATCCCAGACTTGCGTCAACGGGGAATTAAAACAAGAAATGTTTTGTTCCAACAAGATGGTGCCATAGCACATACAGTTAGAGCCTCACTTGTAGTTGTGTGTCGCATTTTTCCTGGACAAGTAATCTCCTTTTGTGTTTTTTACGTTTTGGTGATGTGTATTATTTTTTATAGGAACACCTAAAGGTAAAGGTCTACGTCGATAAACCTAGAAATCTGCAAAAATTGAAAGAAGCTATCATAGCACAAGTTAGGGAAATTGACATCGAGCTGTGTGAGAAGGTGATGAGGAACTTTGAGGATCGATTACAGCAGTGCATTGCAGAAACTTTTTTATTGTTAAATGGTAACATCTAAACTTTCCTTTTTCATAAATAAACTTTTTTTCAATTAAACAACAGTTGAGTTATTCTTATTTCAAAAATGCCCTTCCATTTAATTCCACCCTGTATTAGTAAATGTTACATGATTCATTTTTGAATCATTTTTTTTATCAAATTTAATTTTAGTTTAAGAACTAGAATATTTTTTCCCTTTGCAGTTTATAGTTCACATAAATGTTCCTATTGAGTTTTATTTTGGTTTATATCACAATTTATTTTCCAATTTACAGTAAAAAAGAATAATAAAATTTTGTATAAGTCTTTAAAATGATGTAAAAACATAAAATATCTGGACAACTTCATAACTCGATACGACTTTTTTATAACAATCTCACATCTGTCATATCATAATGCATTTTATTGCGTAGCATTACAATTTATTGTTGTAGCCTCAGCTAATATTATGCAGAATGAGCTTAAACCGCATCATATCCTCATTATCTTAAACATCATTCTCTCATATATCATCATTATAATAAAGAGAAATGACTTAATTAGTTAAAATTGTGATCTTTTTGTGCAAAATATAACTTAAGTGACATAATTTTTGTTGTACTTAATCCTGGTGGGGGACTTGATTTTCAGTAGACCAAGAAGAGAAAGGAGTCGCGGTCGCACAGCAACTGGACATATGCGCCACGGTTCGGGGGGCCCCCGGTGAGAGGGAAACTGATACATTTTTCTGTTTTTCCTTCTGCCCACCCATTCCACTTTGTCCGGGCTTCGAATTTCAGAACTCCTCTCTCAGTCCCGTTGACAGTGTTGTGCACGTTGCAGCAAGTAAAATGTGTTAAGAAATTTACCGCTATCTCTCAACTTATTCGTTTTTAAACCCGCGTCGCACTTCGATCATAATCATCATTAAAGGACTTTGTGTGCTGACCTTTTTGTTATGGTACTTATTGATTATTTTATATTTTAACAAAATCGTTCTTTAAATTTTAATTAATATATGAGATATTCAAATTTATTTTAATTTATATTGTTTTAATTAAAACGTTATACAATTTAATTTATAAAACAATTAATTTTACCAAAAATTCTTGTTAGATAATCAATAGGGAAAGTGAATCAAATGTACCAATTTAAATCGGTTTAATCGGTTAATTTATAACCAACCGGATCAAAGATATGTTTATTAAAACATTCTTGGGTTGGGTTAAGCAAAAAATAATTGGATAAATAACGAGAACTTATAGATAATAAATAATGATCATTTGCGATCTCAAGAATGTTCCGTTTTTGCCACTTTGTTAGTTGCTTGCTTGTGTTAGTCAACAATGTCCATATAAAGTCAAATTGATTCATCTTCATCGTCGATTTTATCTTAATGGAAAACTCTCTCTTTTTAAAAGGGAGAGATGCGGTTTTTTTGTATTTTTAAATTGATTATTTCTGCTTTCTATAAAAATTTTCTCTGAGATAATTAAAATTTTATATCCGCAATTATTTGAGTTAAGACATAAATATATTAATCGGAAAACTGGTTCTTTTATGTAATATAAGGAAAAAATCGTTGAGTCGAGGAAACTAAACGCATCATAGGTTTTGATTATTACTGATTAAAAAGGATCTACATAAATTAAGCATCACGAAATCAGAAATTGAATAAGTAATTATTTAAAAATAAGAATTTTTATTTACTAATATTAAATTATATTTAATTTCTTTCCGTGCTAAATTTATTAATAACTCTTGCACATTTACCTAAATTTTCAACGTAAATTAATTAGAAATTTTAATAAATATAGGATCAATTTGATTAATTTTAGTCATTTTCGACTTTCACTTTCAAAGCCATAGTTGCATCGGTTTAAAATTTTAAATCAACTTTATAGTTTTTAAAATTACCTCAATAAAAATTCATTAGATCCTTTTATCGATGACATTTCTAATAATTGGGGATACTAAATAAATATGTATTAAAATTGATTTACATACAATGATGCACCCAGCGGGAGAACAAAAAAAAACATATATATATAAATGTTATTTCAAGTTACCCTTTGCGTGCATTCGCGTGTTGATTTCGAAAGAACGATTTCGTAAAATATAAAGTCGTCAAGTATCGTCCGTTTTCAGTGATCCTAAGTGGATTTCCTTCGTCCAAACCGAATGTGATATAGTGAACAGAAAATTTTTTTAATAAAAAAAAATGAAGCTGCACTTACTTATTATCTTAACGTGTTTATGCGTTGCTTTCGTCAACTGCCAAAGAACGAGACCGCAAAATGTAAGTATTTCTTATTTATTTTTTATAATTTTAGATGAAACAAAAAAAAGAAATGATGAAACGAATTTTCTCTTTTTAAGATCGCTTTCGATTTCAGACGAATTTGGGGCCGAACTTGAAAAGAAAGTTAATACATTTTAACATAAATCGTAAAGATTTAAATTTTCGGTTTAAAAAATCTAATTTAAACGATTACAAAATAAATTTCTCGGAAAATGTGCGGAAACGTAGACAACTTTATCATTGTAGAAAGTCGAAGCTTTCTTTAAGAAAAAGTTATCACCATCTCGGATAAACTAAAGTGTACAGGAAGACACGAAATCACTAATTTCCAATTCGATAATAAAGTGAAACTATTAATCACGGTTTAAATTAATTATTGAAACCAAAATCTATACCCAATTAAGAAGTGAAGGGGCAATATGGGCACCGTTCACAAAATAAAAGGATAATCAAACTTGCTTGCGGCGTTTTAAACTTAAAACGACGTTGATTTTATTGAACAAAAGAGAAGTAAAAGTCGTTACTTGGTATTTTGCCCTTTTTCAAATTTGTGTTTCGAAATTTATTTAATAATACATTCATTTCAATAATGCAACTTCTTGAAAGTAACGCAAGATAAAAAATTAACTGATAATTATAAAAACTCATTAAAAAAATTACATCATATTAATTTTATTACTAAATACTTAAATGACTTAATCTTGCTCGATCTCTCCTTGGCGTTCTAGAAACATTCGGATTATTTAAAATTATACGGTTAACATTGAAAATTCACTTTAAATCAATAAGAAATACGATTTGATACAGTTTTTTATTTTAATCAATTAAGTGTGTTCACTATGGTATGTAGTAAAATACACAATTTATTTTTTTTTTAAATTCGTTTCGGTTCAAACTTTGCATGTCGATCGGTTCCTTTCAAACAATGAGGAGCATAGGTTGACAAAAAAAAATCAGCGTTGCTATAACGTGCCGAACGGTTTCACTTGGCCGAAGAAAATTGCTAGTTTTCTATCGGACGAATTTCTAACCGAGTACCGAAGAGAGCGTTGACAACAATTACGGCAGACGTTTCACGCTGGTTGAACTGAATAATTTACTATTAACCGTGATAAAAATGAACCTATTGTTCAAATTTAATCTTTTTCTTTAATAAATAAATCATTTTTATTGTATATGCAAAATATATTCGTTACTTTAGTAGTAATAGAAGCTGAAATAACCACAAAAGACTACTATTTAAAGTCGAGACAATCACAAAAGCTGAATTGGAAGGTGATATATTAACGATACTTTGCAGCACGTGAAAGTAACAACATAACACTTTGAGTCATTTACAATAACACCATAAATAGCATTTTTTCGTATAATGGCAGTAATTGATTGTACCCATATTAGATTGCAATCACCGAGCCCAAGCCACTTTTTCCAAGAAGCTTAATTAAAGAATTTACGAATTAACGAATTCATCTGTTATATTTATTGTAACGATAAGGTTAATTGATGAAAATGTTATTAATTAAAATCCTTCGAAATTGGTTTCTTTGGTTGAAATATAGATCGATATCTTCGGAATCGCTTGATATAAAAAAATGCGGTAAAGTTTGTTGTAATCATTGAACGTTTTTACGTAACATATGTGAATTTGAAAATTTTCGGTTCCGATTCGCTTTTATTTTACCTACATAAAAAAATTAAGGCGCGACGTCCAGTCTGGAACTCATACCAGCACCATCTTTTCCGCCACTTCTCCCCACATGGCTTATTTTTCTTTCTTTTTAATTTATAAGCGTTCTAAAAAGATTACCGAGATTCGACAAACACAATTTTCCGTGAAAATATCGAAAAAATAAAATGTGCCCCTCATTAAGAACACATCAAGCTACTCAGATAGTTTTTGAGACAAAAATCGCCAATTGGACAAAGTTGGTATTACGTAGAAATGTTAAGTGATTTTTTGCATCGAGCGATTGCGAAGATATCGATCTGTAAAGTGAGGACCTTGACTTTTGGTACCGATAGTAGATGACTACTCGTTCTTTAAATCTCTCATTTTGGGATATTGACAGATTTCTTTATTGAAAATGCAATAAAAACATATTTACAAATCATAGGGCACAATTTTGCTATGTAAAAAAGAAAAATACATTCAACATCTCCAAAACGCGGTTAATGAGATTCATAAATGCTTATCCATTTGGTGCTTTCACTTAAATACAAGTAAATGTGAGTTCAGCATATTTACTTACTCTTAGGCAAGTTAAAAATCCTACAACAACATGGAATGTCATTCTTTGAACTGAAACCCGAAAGTTAGCGGTGTCAAATATCTGGGATTATATTTGGACCACAGACTTACGTGGAAGTACTAACAAAAAAATTAATCGAAGTGTATGTAATTAATGTAAGAGAAACCAAGTGCCATAAAATAAAATACTAAGAATAACCAAGGTTCGTGAGGAATTAATGAAGAATTATGAGTCGAAATGATAAACGAATACATTAGTAAAACAGAAAATACTTACACGACCTCCAAAAGTCTCCAAGTGCTCAAGACTTCCATGACAATAATTTGAATCAGTACGAATATCAGAATTGTAATATACCAGTACTACATTTAGTAATACTAGAATGTTTGCATAGTGCCTAGATTCGAGATAAATAGGTTGGTCTTCTATCTTGCATCCACTACTTCTCAATTATTCCTGCAAAACCTTTTCTAGTTAGAAAGATAATATTTACATATTTACTACCCTTTACTTTTAACTTCCATTTCTTGGTGATTTTGCCAGCGTTGAATTTATGTTAATATGACTATGATTTGTAAAAGTCGCAGTTTTATTCTGGTTGTGGTCATAAATTAACCATACATTTTATCCATGTTGAGTAATGAGTTCAATACTTTAAAGGTGAAGTATAATAATAATAATAATAGTTATAATAATAGATTTTATTAATCTAAAATTTAAGTAAGTTGTAAGAGAACGATCTCTCAAATAATGTAGTAACATGTAGCGGTGGTGTGACAATACCCTTGCTTCGAACATTTAAGCTATGGACATCAGTGCGGAATGCAATCTTATCATACAAATAACATGGACATTTAAGCAACAGTAACTTATGATAAAATGAAACCATATGGTATATGCGACGGTTCAGCCACCCAAGATCGATCAGCCTGTGTGGGACATGGCACCCTCGTCGAAGCCCGAAAATCATTCGGAGTCATGAATTCTGAATACGGTGAATCCTTTGTGATGTTTTTCAGTTTAGACAACTATGATATACTGTATCACAAAAGCTAAAATGGCTCACCACTAAAGAATCGCAAAGCATAAACTTTGTGCTGCGATTTAAAATATTCCTCATGCTGTATATGAGCTTCAAAGCAGCAAATGAAATTTTTGTGTTGTTCAGGATGTGCTTTTCGAACCTAAGATTCGAGTCGAGCTGTAATCCTAAATTTCTAGCACACTCCCTAACACTAATACATTTATCACCAATATTAATTTTAAAATTTTCTGCAAGAGAGTCTCGTGCACCCCGCCTGCCGAAGAGCATAACCACTGATTTATTTGAACTTACCAGTAACTCAATTTAACTTGAGCCTTTAACCTTTGGCATGTCCGTAGGCAAGAATGATAGATAGATTTGGGAATCGTCCGCATAAAAATGTGACTCTGAATATTTCAAAACTGTCGAAAGATTAGAAGTATAAATATAAAACAGTAGAGGCCCCAAGATAGAACTCTGTGGCACTCCTTACTTCAAGCCTCGCAGTTCCGATCTCCGATCACCCAATTTAACCCCTTGTTGTCTGTCCGACACATAACTATCAATCATTTTCACAGCAGAATCATTGAACCCAATGAAAGATAAAATAGCTGATAACATCCTATGATTGACAGTATCAAAAGGTCCTATTGTAGTCTAGCAGAACTAATCCAGTAAGCCTATTTTGATCCGCCGCAAACAATGTGTCATCAACTATATGCGTTAATGCTGTATCGCAACTGTAGTTAGCACGAAATCCAGACTGTGTTCTAGGCAGAACATTAAGTTTATCGTCAAATTCCCGAATTTGGTTATTCATAATTTTTTCTAATACTTCAGACAAAGCAGGTGAAATACTAATTGGTCGCAGGTCCGAAAATGTCATAGGATTTTTAATCTTTGGCAAAGGTATTACTAAAGATTTCTTCCAACATTTTGGAAAGATTGACCTTGATAAGCATATATTAATAATATGTGTGTCGTAAGGAATGTTGAAAGGACAACAGTAATGTATCATCACAACCGAGAGTTCAACATATCCTACACTGCCAAAATTGATATTTAACAAATGGCTCGCTACAATATACTCCGAGACAGGCACAAAAGCAGACAATTCATTAAAGGTAGACTTTTTCGTGATAGTATAAGCCTGAATTAAGTCTGGATCAGCGATCATTCAGTTTTCAGCCGCTTGTAAAAAATTATCATTAATGCCTTCAACGTCATTTAAATGTGGAAGTACCTCTTTTGATTTAATAACATTCAGATGCCTTACTGATTTCCAGAGATCCCTGGAACTTTTATTTTTGAAAGATGACTTATAGTACGCCTTCTGTTCGGTCTTTATTGCGCGTGCAACATGTTTTCTAAAACATTTATATTCATTAAGTGCTAGTTCAGTTTTAGACTTTTTGTATTTGCTGTAAAGACCATCTCTAAGCCTAATCATATCTCTAATAATACCTAGTTCCTCAGATTATAATTTAGACATCTTATCAACCGTTTCTGCTATCATCAGAAACGGTCATCATTATTTTGCTGCACCACCCAATGAACTTGATAAATAGTTCCGTATTTGAATAGGTATCTATTGAACAGGTATCTTTCTTGCTCTAAAATCCACTGTAATCTCATTAACATTAGTTTTTCAAAGGCCTTTGACAGTGCCGATATGAGGATTATTGTTTTATAAAGATTGGTTGTGTCTTTCCCAGCTTAGATAT